CATTTACCTGAGGTAGATACACTCCTTGGAGAGAACAGTCATGGAAGAAACAAGGGCTGCTTATGCACCGGGAGACAGCTCAGGGGGCAGGAGTGCATGGAGGGATGGACATAGGGAAGAGGTAATTATCGGGAGGAAGTGGGAGGAGAGCTATTGCATTGTGATAAATTGTAGTCAGTGTCATGAGACAAAGTATATGTGAACTGCTGTATGGAAAGTGAAAGTCATCTCTATGTTTCTCACATACTTTTTTTTGTTTACTGCAATACCATAAGACTTGAATAACACCAGGAGACCCATACACAATGCCACTAGTGATAATGGAAGTGCACCCAAGAAGCAGAGAAAGTCATGACATTACAAGAAAAAATTGAATTGCTTTATAATGTACCATAGATTGAGGTCTTTGGCTGCAGTTCTCCACCATTTCAAGGTAAATTAATCCAGCATGAAGACCATTGTAAAAAAAGAAAAGGAAGTTTGTGAAGCTGTCACTGCACCTGTGCCAGCAGGCATGAAAACCTTGCACTTTTTGCAAAATACCTTTTTATTGTGTATTAAAAATGCAGCTTTTGTGTAGGTGCAGGATTGCCATCATAAAGGTGTATTTATAGACTCTAACATGATTTTAGAAAAGGTGAAGTCTTAATACGGCAACTTAAAGTAAAAGGAAGGTGAAAGATCTACGGCTAGAGAATTTAATGCCAGCAAAGGATGGTTTGACAATTGTAGAAAAAGGTCTGGCTTAAAAAATGTCAAGATGTAGAAATAGCTTCTCCCAACTAAGCAGCAGAACACGAGTTTTCAGGTGCTATTAAGAAAATCATTGAAGAGAAAAACTATCTGCCTGAACACGTTTTTAATGCAGACGAAAGTGCCCTATTCTGCGAAAAAATACCACAAAGCACATTTATTAATAAAGAACAAAAGTGAGCACCAGAATTTAAGGCAGGAAAGGATAGGGTGACTCTACTATAGTTCTGTGCAAATGTAGTCGGGTTTATGATCAGACTACCCTTATTTGTAAAGCTGCTAAATCCTGAGCCTTAAAGGTAAAGGATAAACTCAGCTGCCAGTCTTTTGGTTGTACATGAAGGCTTGGACAACAAGAACCCTTTTTCTGAATTGGTTCCATTGATCCGTTACCCCTGAAGTCAAGAAGTACCTTGGCAGTAAAGGACTGCCTTTTTTTTTTTTTTTTTTCCCCTTAAAATAACAGAGATTTATTGTTTCACAGTTCCAGAGGCCAGAAGTCAAATTCTCAGAGCACCACCAAGGCCTTTTTCTCTCAGAAGTCCCTGTGGAAGATCTTTCCTTGTCTCCTTCAGCTTCTGGTAGCTCCAGGAAGGGACTGCATTTTAAAATTCTTTTGATACTAGACAATGTCCCTGGCCACCTAGAATCCAATGAGTTCAGCATTGAAGGTGTTAAAATGGTCTGTTTACCCCCAACACACCGTCTCTAATTCAGCCTCTAAATCACAGAGTCATAGAGACCTTCAAGGCTCTTTAACATGGTATTTCAACTCTGTGGAAGAGAACCCTGATAGAAAGAATATCATGAAAGTCTAGAAGGATTACACCATTGAAAATGCCATCATTATTATTGAAAAAGCCAGGAAAACCATCAAGCCTAAAACAGTAAATTTCTTCTGGAGAAAACTGTGTCCAGATATCGCACATAACTTCACAGGATTTACAACATAGCCAACCAAGGAAATCATGAAGGAGCTTGTGGATGTGGCAGAAAAAAGTGAGGGGTGAAAGGTTTCAAGATATGTATCTTAGAGAAATTAAAGCGCTAATAGACATGGGGGCACAGGACCATAGTCTTAGAGGTTCAGTTGGTGTAACATAGTCCACAAAGACAGTGTTCTACATCCCACTTTGGTGAGTAGTAACTGCTGTCTTAAAAGCTTCTGAGTGGCCATCTAGATGTAATGATGGGTCTCTTCCTGTCCGGAACAAAGAAGAGTGAAGATTCAAAGACACAAGGAAACAATTAGTCCGAAGGACTAATGGACCAAGTGAACCCCAGCCTCCACAACCCTGAGACTAGAAGAAATAGATGATAATCTGAAAGGGATCACAGGAGGAGGATTAGGATAGCGTAGGAGAAAATGTGGACCAAATCTCAAAATCATAAAAAGAGCATGCTTACTGGTCTGGTAGAGATTGGTGGTGAGCCTAGGGCTCTTAGACCCTTGAAGCCTGGAACTCACTTCCATGGCTCAACTTTCATCCAAATGATAGACAGGCTTCTAAGGTGAACTCATTAGAACAGTCAACCATATGAGATCAGAAGGCAGCAAAGGATAGGAAAGAAGGACAAAGGGAAACAGTAAACATGGGAGAAGTACAAAGAGTGCTGCTGCATTGTGGAGAGTGCTGCTGCATTGTGGAGATTGCAGTGAATATCACACAACAAAATGTGTATGAATTGTTGAATGGAAAACCAATTTGCTCTGTAAACTTTCACCCGAATCACAATTAAAAAGAAAGCAAAAAAAACTAAGCTAACAGACAAGAGGAATTTACAGAAGATGACTTGATGGAGGTTAGTGCCTCCAAACCAGTGTCAGACGATGAGGAAGAAGACAGAAAAAGCAGTATCAGAAAACAAACTGACATTAGACCATCTGGCTGAAGAGTTGTGATTATTCAAGACTGCTTTTAACTTCTTTTATGATATGGACCCTTTTATGATACAGGCACTGAAACTAGAGTAAACAATGGAAAAAGGGTTGGTAGTAGATAGAAACATTTTTAGAGAAATGAAAAAGCTGAAAAAGTCCAACAGAAATTACTATGTATCTCTGTAAAGTTACATCAAATGTGCCTTCCTCTCCTTCCTCCCCTTCCACCTCTTCCACCTGTACCACCCCAAGGCAGCACAGACAACTCCTCCCCATCCTTTTCCTCCTCAGACTGCTCATTGTGAAGACAAGGATGAAGATGTATGTGTATGATGATCCACTGTCACTTGTTGTTGTTATGTGCCGTGGAGTCGGACCCGACTCACGGCGACCCCTCCTTGGGTTTCCAAGGCAGTATCACTACGGAAGTAGATTGCCCCATCTTCCTTCCGAGGAGTGGCTGGGGGGTTTGAACCGCCAGCCTTCTGGTTAGCAGTCAAGTGCCTTTAGCCACTATGCTACCAGAGCTCCCATTAATACCATACACAAGTAAAATTTTGCTTCACATAATTCAAAAATAGTTACAGTGCTATATTGAC